TCTCGTAAGGCAATACAGTAGATATCCCGGAAAATAATGGTAAACAGTAATAATCACTAGCACACACAGTAAAATCACAGTAATCCAAAATCTCAGGAAAGAACTCCATCCGGAATCCTTATTTTCCAAAGATTTGCAATGAACGTTGTTCTCATACATTGCTGTAGATTCATTGTATTCTGTAGGTAGAATAAGTGATGGTGATTCCTGATCAAATTCTGGTAAAAGTCTGCGTCTTGCTGTTGATCCTGGCGTTTTTGGTGAGGTTCCTACTTGTAATCCAGGTGTGCTGGCTGAGGGTACATTACCAGTTAATTCCATATCTCTCGGTGAAAACGTCGTGCGTTCCCCTCCAAACATAATGTTGAGAATTAATACAATGGCGATTCTCACTTTTCACAAACATTACATAGCAGTTTGAACATTCTTTTCGGAGGTTAACATTAACACTTCCAATTAACACAAAATTTCCGGATTCATCTAAATCATATACGTTGACATAACTCATTTTTGCGAATGCACTAACGGTATTCCACATTGCCACAACGAGGACAGGAAAATCGGAACACTGAGGTTGCACATTTTTCACACTCCATTATAACTTTGTTTTTGGCTTTAGATTTAGAGAATGTGTGATCACATCTGGTACACTTTAAATCGTAAATTTCCAAGTCCACAAAATATTTCACATACCCAACTCCATTTTTCTTAATGATATAATGCTTCACAAATGAAAATTTTTCCATTTTTCAATTTCACTAAAATTATCCGATTCATTCACTATTTTGAACGGTCCGTAAAATCCATGAATTTAAATCCATATGAATCTCACAAATCCACATGAATCAACACGGATCCCACCGCTGGCCACCAGTTGTGGCGCAGGCCGAGCTGCAGGGAAGTCGGCTTATACTGCCGAGTGTCTACATATTTATTGTCCGAGCGGTTTTTCCCTTAAGTTCCAACTTTCCTTAGTATTGTGCTGAATGATAAGTCCGTATTAAACAACTGTTAAAGTTCACTAATTTATTTACATGTCTACACACAATATTTACACACACACATAGTCCACATTTCACAGTAGAAATAAATGTAAAACAAGCTAATTCAGAGAATTCGTGTCCCCCGTTTAGGGAAAAAGTCGGATCCCCCTGACTGAATTTGTAGAATTATTAAATGTATACATGTATACTGAAGCAAATAAAATACAAGTATGTCAATATACATATAAAGATTTGATTGCTTATTCTTTATTATGTGTATAGAAGATTCTTTTTATATGTAATATTTATCACACTGTAATGATGATTTTATAACTCATAAATTTTTCATTTCACATGCTGAATACTATCATTTAGTAAAAAAAAAAAAAGAAAAGTATTTTAAAAAAAAAAAAAGAGAAAAAAAAGAAAGGAGCGGCCAGATTCGATCCCGGGACCTCTCACATTTGAAGTGACATAACCACTAGACCACGGAATCGCTTTACACGATGTGAAGCATATGCAGAACTGAAGTCACATACATGTATATATTCATATTTTCATGTTCGGTATTCTCAAAATTTTACACAATCCATGGTGTTTTATTTATTTAGCCTTTATCAAACAGTTCTAATAGATGTAATAAGAACATAAAGTCCGCCGAGAACCTGTTTTATACGCAATAACTCTCCTCATGCCCCTGCGCTAAAAATAGCGACATGTAATACTATAAATACTAATAAAACAAACGGGGCGGGGCACTTTGAGAGGGGCGAGATACGTCCTAGGGAGTTTTGGTATAAAATTACATTGCATAAGCTCAAAATCTTCTTAAAATATCGCCGGGAAATGATAGTGTTACACACAGACAGAATGTGTAAATTTACGACCTTGAACTTTGACCTTTTGACCTCAAAATCAATAGGGATCTTCATTAGGCCACAGGGAGTTGTTACGTAAAATTTAATTGCAATAGCTCAAATGGTTCTAGAGATATCGTGTGGAAACGAAAGTATTATAACAGACAGAATTTGCTTATTTATGACCTTGACCTTTAACCTTTTGACCTCAAAATCAATAGGGTTCTTCTTCAGTCCATAGGGAGTTGCTATGCTAAATTTCATTGCAAAAGCTCAAAGGGTTCTCGAGATATCGTGTGGAAACGAAAGCGTTACAGACAGACAGAAAGACGGACGGACGGACGGACAGACGGACGGACAAACCCAAATTAATATCCCCCACTTTTCAAGCGGGGGACAATAATCCAAATGAAAATACAGTATATAAAATCCTAAAATCCCGTAATCCAGTATAAATCCATTCTGAATCAATTCTATCAACATCCTATAGCATCACTAACTTCAACTATCTCTATAGAATAACTTTTCTTCAACTCTCTAAACACAAAACTACAACAACTAAACTTCATCTACCTTAAATGATCAAATGCGCTCATTTATATAGTAAACTGAACCTCCACAATGTGGGGAGTGAAAATTCTACCTCCTCTAAGTGGGGAGGCAATACATAAAATTATACAAGGACCACCCGTGATTAACTAATTATCACGGTAATTAAAGGGCAATAAACTGACTATGCTTACTAATAGATAAGGTGATACAGCTAAATGGGAGATTAATAATAAGTAGCTAACAATCCGGAATCTGAAAATCAACTAATATAAATTCTCTACAAAGGGATTGTCTATCGTATCTAATTATGCGTCATTAATTACTTTCACATTCATCTTGTGCATAAAATCAAATTAATTTATTAATTTATATATAATTTCATGATAAAAATGTCTAAAATTTCGGTTAAAAAAACCTCTTTCTTTTTTTTTTTTTTTTTTTTTTTTTTTTTGAAAATCTTTTTTTTTATCATTCATACATATTTGTAGAATATGTCTTCAGCATTTTAGCAGAGACAGTAATAGTTTCAGGAATACAGCTTATGAGAAAACGTAACTGTTGATCGTTTGATTTCGCTAAGTCATCAATATTTTACCATTTCTTGGCGACTTCAAGGGGGGGGGGGGGCTAAAGACTTCTTAACCACCTCTGACAAAACAACCTCGACTGTGTTCTACATGTGTCAAAGAGACCTCTCTTTGAATGTCACAGTCGGTTAAACTCGGTTATATATTTTAAATTGTATGGAAGATTTATTCATCAAATAAAAATCATATAGGTAAAAAAAAAACAATCTGTTATTTTTTCTAACACAATATGAGACTACAAGTAACTAGAATTAATGTTTATTTTTTTAAACATTTTTTCATTATAAATGAGTACATGTATTAGGCAAAGTTATTGCCATGAGTAATAAGTATCATAGATAAAATAACTAAAAGAAAACTGTGACATATTGTCTAGAACCAATCAGATAGTGCATTGTATTCGCATATTATAATGATGTATAAGATAGCGATATAAGAAAAATATAGAAGGTAAAGAGGTAAAATTTACCCTGTCTATCAAATAGTATAATAAAGAAAGGAAGTGGTACAATTTTTATGAAATTTTAATGTCTGATCAGGAATTATATTCCCAAAAATTAAGACAAGAGTTTCCAAGGCAATTGAACACTCCATTATTTCAGTTTGTTCATTAACATATTCATAAACGTAAAAACTATAAGAAATGTGAAATTTTGACTATGTAATTCATATTTCAATATGACTGTACCTCGATCTATATTGAGAAATTCAATGTATTATAAGCTCATGAAAAGATGTACATATTTGACTTTTATTTATAACCCCCCCCCCCCCCCAAAAAAAAAGAAAATCCTGTTCATATGACTTCTCGCTCTCAATTTTCACACAAATGCATAAAATAAAGAAAAAATAGCATATCTTGTATCAATCAAAATGCAACCAAAAAATTTACGGTGTCTTTGAATGATAATTTCCATGCTAAATTGACATAAAAAAGGTACTCACCTTCAATTAGCTATTTTCAACCTGTTTCCCGTGGGTATTTATTTAATGTTATTTATTTTCTTCTTTATAATAACGTTTGGTATTCTATTATGGCAGAGATATACAATTATGACTCGCTTATACTGTACTCTCTAACTGTTAGGAATAATTTATGTTTCACGTGAAAGGGACGCCATACATTTTTCAGTAAAAACACATAACACGGATTTAGTCGTTTAATTTCTTTAAAGGTTCACATTTTGTGAATAGTGCACAAGTTAGAAAATTAAGTATATGGAATACTTTAATGGGAAATAAAGACAAACGAAGTGTAGTTATTTGTTTTTAGAAATTATATTGAAAAATAATAACGCCATTATGTCCTCTTTGTTACCCCAGGAGTGTTTGTCGTGTGATTTTAAACTTATTTGACAACCGTATGAATTAGGTTTAATAAAAATAAATCCACAAGATACTGATGTACAAGTAACAGTAACTGGCATAATGCGCCGTTGCTTTATTCTTTTGTTTTTAAAGAAAGTTGCACGGGATACCCGATTTCGCGGATTCAACGATACCCTAATATCGGGTATTATACGCGATTTCACGGATAATACCCGATTTCGAGTATTCCCTCCGACCTGTTAAACGGCAATTTGCGCCGACAAACAAACAAGAAAGGATTATGAATTTGTTAAAGCTTTTGTTTTATATAGTACAAAAAAAATTAACATGGTTCAAATAATTGAAAAATTACTGGAGGGATCTTATTTTGATTATCATATATATGTTTTTTTTTTATTTTGTTGGCTTTTTTTTGGGTTAAATCAGACCATTACTATGATTTACTTGGTGATTGATACAGAATACAAGACTGCCTACGCACAACTTGTTATTTATTCATTTATTTGTGAATTGAACACCTGCCTATTTGGTAGTAATTAGCCCACCTGAGCTGCAAACTCAAGTGAGCTTTTCTGAAGACATTTTAATCATCGTTTGTCGTTACTTACAATGTAGAAATATATATGACAAATCGTTCGATAATCTTCTCCTCAGATTGATACATGTATCTACATCTTTGTACTTTTAGTTAACTTAGCTTTTCGAGGCATGAACATGGATGAGCCTTTTGATGGGAATCAAAGCACATTTCAGACAATTAAAACAGCAAACGTTCAGCTTGGAGGCATTTTTATCGTTTCTGCTATGACTTTACATGGTAAAATTCCTTAAGTGTTTGAAACACGGTTAAAAAGAATATGTTATTGAATAGGACATCAAAAAATTACCTGTTTTGTAAGTGTTTTGTCTCTCTTCCTCATACTTAATCATGTAATATGATAACAAGACATGACTGACAAGGATCATTGTTGACACGTTCAAATTATATATCAATATCAAAGATGGTTATCTCTTATCTGCATTCAACGTTAAAAAACTGTTTTCCTTGAAGTTTTACGAGGTGATTCTCCTCATCTGACAATAAAAGACTCCGGAAACAGAATTTGTTACTCTGCTGTTCCATCAACAACTACGATTTACTTCGATCGAGTGTTCAAAACAAAAAGTTTGTCAATGTATTTTAGTAAAGAAGTTACCATTAAAGAAATAGAGGTGTTCGGTGGTAGGTATATTTTGTATCTTCTGTGTGAAGTTCTTTTTAAAGAAAATGTGCTGATTAATGTTTTAACTTTGTAAAGTTTTGTATTATATTCTAATTTTAACAGGGTTGGCAAAAAAAGGGAAATACTCATATAATTCCCATGACGGTGGGAAATACTGTAATTCTCGGGAGTTACTAGTATTTACCAAGAAAAACTGGGAGATAAAGATATCTTTATAACTTTAAGGTAAGGTTTGCGTTTACAGGGAGATAACTCTTGCAAATCACCAAAGCGTTTGAAACAGGCGAATTTAAACCAGCGATGCTAAGCATCTCGCTAACGAATTTCCTCTGTCATACTTGATGTTTGTTGTCACTTATTGTTAGGACTAAAAACAAAGGACGTTTTCAGGAGAAAGTCTTCTAACAAATCAAAGCATAGGAATCTTATAAGCCTTTGAGGTTAGCGTGATGCATGTGAATGAACCGATAAAGGATGACTTGTTTATTTTCGATACGGAACGTGGCAAGTTGCACGGCCATTCCGATCAGAAGAAAGTCATTGACGGCATTTGACGCATTGTGCTGTTGTGTGTTTCTCGCTTCACCACTACACTAAAATTTTAAGTGAGAATGGGAAAAAAAAAAGACCTGAGAGTATCCTGTAAAGTATTATGCTATATGCAGTCCGAACAGGGAAGAAAAGTCACGGTGCATTTGACCATGTCCAATGAGGATGTTGACAGTTTGATTGCAGATTGTTGATAGTATTTTCATCAGGTAATTATTTATTACTGTAAGTTATGAATGATCTACTGACTACGGATTTAAAAACGATGAATAAACGGTACAAGGATGTCAGGATGTGACTAATATCCCAACATTGCCAAAAAATAAAAATGCATTCATTCAAGAAATTATGAAAATTAAAATCCTTGCTTTTTAGGCCTAATATTTGTAACATTATTGGAACAGGTATTCAATTGTTCAAGTTACCTTTTTAAATGAGGTTTGATTTTAATTAATATCTCATTTTCTAATTAATAAAAAGAAAGAGATACAGATTGTACATGACAAGAACATAAATTTTCTTGATCAAGCATTTGCATTTCACTAATTCAATCTGTAAATTTTACAATAATTTCATATTGATTCTTCATTGATTATATTGGAAATTTATTCATTTCATTGAGTGAATGAAACTCAGTGCAATTACTTATGCAATTCCTTAAATGTTATTGTAAAAATGAACACATATGATTTCAGATCATGGGTCATTAATTGGAATAGATAAGACCAAAAAAAAAGTACTTCAGTGTTTCCTTAAATGATTTGTGCCATCAATCAAAGAAAAGGTCATCCCATATCAGCTCAAGAATATTAAAGAAAATTGGATGGATCAAGCTAAGATAAAGAACCAGACATGGCAACATCAATGGAGATTTGGAGAAGAACTTCTGACTTGTTATACCCAATGCATATTTTTATATGTCTATAGATTATAGAAGAAAATTTAATGTTTAACAACATCCTATCTAGTATATACATGCTGTTTTCCATATATTTAGAAAATATGTGTATGTGATGATTGCAGTGCATGCTCTGTTTGTCCATCTTTGAATTTGTTTTCAGTAAAATAAATGTATACATCATAGATATTAATTGAAGGTTGCTTTTGTCTAAACTTACATGTAACAAGTTTCTTAAAAAGGTTTGTAAAATTGCAAGGAAATTAATACATGAACAATTAAGATTAATATTTTTATTCATAAAAATTGTTTTTACCAGGACCTAATATGCTCAAATAAGTATTTCTGAAAACTGATGAGTTTTGTACATTGAGCTAATGTCCATGAAGTGTAGAAATAGGCCATCTTTAAAAAATGTATGGTTGTCGGCCTCTCCAGACCGACTGACTAAAATGACCAGACTGAAAACTTTTATTCAATGCAGGGCCGTATTATTTTTCTTTTTATTCCTCTTATCCCCTTAAAAAAATGTTGTTGAAGATTTTCTCACCTACCGACCCAATAATTTTACCCTGAGTCAAGAGAGGGCAAACAAACATTACTTTAAAGATAGCATTTCTACTCTTCAAAGTAAAGAAATCATTTAATTATAAAAACAGCAGCTTCGTGGATGCAATGCTTATAACATTTCACTCAAAAAAAAGGCATACATGTAAAATGACAGTCACCAGCCATAACTGAATAAAGATATTTTGCTACAAAGATGTCTAGAATTTACTACATGTTGGAATAACTAAATCAGCATGAGGTCAAATTCATAGGCTTTTAATTGGTTTAGTTGCAACATGTTCTGAAGTATGTTTATATACATATACATGTACTTCTAAAGGTGTTGCAGTATAATTCATGGACAATTTCATCAGAATATTCAGATGTAAAGATTGCCATAAACATGATAAATACATAGAGTTCTTCCACGAAATAAATTTTTAGACCATCATGTAGCACAGGAGGAGTTTTATTTTGAATATTTTTGGCCAGTTTATGCCTAAAATCAATATCAAAAATAATATTTAGTCTTTAACATTTACCATGCAAGGTGATATCAATGTTGTCTTTAAAAGTGTAGAAAAAGCCTGATTTTTATGTTCCAAATCCATAATATAGCCCCTGTTTCCATGGAAATAATATTGGGGACATACATATTTTTTTAGTTCAAATTAATGAAAATGATCAAATTAATAACTTCATGGATTTTGAAGGAATCGGTAGATATGTAAAACGTTGATTTTTATATTTTTGTTGCCATGGCAACGGTTTCACTTTATCAAGGAAAATTGAAAAAATCTTCTTTTTTCCCAATTTTTCACATTTTTGATAACGGAAAATCAAAAGTTTAAATAATAGAAGCATGAATTATACTAATTCAGGTAATTTTAATTATAAAAGTTTGATAATTTATAAAATAAATCAATTTTTTCAATGAAAATAATATTCGAGGTGAAATATGAAATACGTTAAATTTGGCGTCTTTTACTAAAAATATGGGACGGGCAATATCTTTGAAAATCATATAAAATGATAAAGCTAATCTCTCTGAATAAATTGATATATAGCATGTGTGCATATTAAAAAAACTATGAGTTGGAGGGAGACGCAAACCTTACCTTAATCATCTTATGTCAGTATACACATGTATTACACCCTTCTAATATTTCAATTTAAATAATTATAAAACAGTACTGGTTTACCTGCCCATGAAATGAACATATAGGTATCTCATTTGGACATTTTTATGTACATAAAGAAGGATCTAAGAAAATTGTTAAATGTAGTATTTAGTGTAAATGCCAAACCTTTGAGAATAAGCCACCTGATCCCACCTCTAATTTTTTAGAGGTCCGTGTTTGCTCTGCTCCTATTTTCTGTTGTTTTATGGACTTCTGATCTTGAATACTGTTCGTTATAACCGTATGTTTCATTTCAGTTCTACTCCAGGTACAGTCCAATTACCTCTCAAAACAGGATCACCTAGAGTCAATCTGTTAAAACAACATATTAATTGATTGTAAACACTACAGTGTTTATAGAAGGAATAAAACAATTTCATCATGTTCTTAAATTTATAATTTATAAACTTCATAATTCTACTAAACTGAAAAAAAAACTTAAATCCAAAAAATCAGTTTTGTTCTTAAACTACAAACAGGGAAACATGTTCTGCTACAGAATACATATAATGGATAGGAAACCTGGAGTAGTGATATACTAAGTGTGATTTTAAAATTTCAGACTTATGATATATGTCAATTTTATTCATTTTCTATTTTATGTTCATTTTTATTAATGAAATTTGTATAGATTTGAGTGAATTAAGGGAGGCTGACTGGGGTTTCCATTGCGCAAGACTTAGCACATCATGGTGAAATATTTACTGTTTTAAAGCACCTTTTTTCACTTCACAAATTTGACAAAATTAAGAAATTAAAGGTTAAAAAATTTAATTACGATTTTGTTATTACTGATTTATAAAACGATTTTTCATCTGATAGGTAGATTGACGTCTTTCTAGTGTGTTTTGACGTTCAGATAAACTGAATCTCTTAAAGAAGTAGAAATAAAAATGTTAAAGTAGACTTTTAACATATGCTCTTGAAATTAAAAAAATACACTTTTGAGATTCTTTTGATCTTTCATATAATTTTAAGTACTTATCATCTGTATGCGTCATATTTTGTAGTACTCCATAAAAACAGGAAATTTTTTTTATTTTTTGGCATTTTGTGATGCCCCCTCTGGGAACCAGACGGTAGAATTTTTTGTTTCTTACATATAATGCACTATATTATATAACTCGTCATATAGTATAATTTGAACACAAATCTATTGTAGTATTTGTATAATTTCCTTTAAAGTGCGAACAATTGGCACTTTCCTATATAATCCTATAGTAAATGTACCTGTATTTTGCGACGAACCCTTAAAAATACCTGGGCGGTAGATTTCCCCCCAGACTTGTATACTAGTACTGAAGTCAGTGTAAGTAACATAATTATGTTAACTGAAGAGTTTCTCTATTGCAGATTTCGCACAATAAAACCCCAGTCGGACGCCTTAAAAGAAATAAATTCATAAATTTTGTATTTCCCAGTATTTCCCAGTTTGGATAAAATTTGTGTTAATTACCTGGACGAGAAATACCGATATATTTACCTTTTGTAATTCCCACTGCCGGTATTTTCCAACCCTGAATTTAATTATTCTATACTTTAGGTAAGAATATTGCCCTCTGGAAAGCTACTGAACAGTCGACAACTCTGAATGAAGCTTACACGTCTGATAAAGCTGTAGACGGTTTAGGTAATGGTGATGATATAAACACGTGTTCACACACATCTGAACTTCCCTCACCTCCAACCTGGAACGTTAGTTTGGGGAATAATTTCTCTGTGACTTCAATGTACATTGTCAATAGAAAAGACTTCGGTGAGTATAATTCTAATTATTATACCCCCCGCTTGAAAAGCGGGAGGGTATATAGTAATCGTTAATTCCGTCCGTCTGTACGTCTGTCCGTCCGTCCGTCCGTCCGTCCTTCCGTCTGTCCGTCCGTCCGTCTGTTACGCTTTGGGGTACCCATCTCTTATCCGCAACTCCTCTCATACCACTGAATGAAATTTGATGCAACTTCCACAGAATCTTTATTACATATTGCCATTGTGCACCTCCTATTTTACTTTTTGATCCGACACATATTTTGGGTTTCCCGGCCACAGGAAAACATGGACTTTTTCACCAGTTATAACCATATGGGAGGCGGGGGGTATCATTTAGTGAGCTCATCGCTCACAGTACCTCTAGTTTTGAAATGTTGAAAAGAGTAATTCAACACTGAGCAGTGACTGAATAATTAAAAATTATATATAATTTTATTTGACAGAGCTTTGTATCAAACTTAACTGTTTTGCAAAATTAGTTTTTGCGTTTTATTGTATATTGATTCCAATTCTAACATGACAAAAAAGGAAAATGGGTATACATACCTAAAAATTATAACCTTTGCTTTACCCTTCAAGGTTTAAATGACCAATTTTGTATGTCTGTGCGTGAGAGGGCATGTTTATAAGGGAGTGTGTATGTTTTCGTTCTTTTTTGAAACGACAAAACCATTTGTTTAAAAGCTACAACAAGGAATATACATAAAACAAAATTGATAACGCACCACTAACATTTCAAAGAAAAAAAAATGAAAATCAAGTCTATACTTTTTTAGAGAAATAAATTTCTTTTCTTTCTTTCTTTCTTTTTTTTTTTTTTATTTTTTTTGTTTATCATGTTAGTACTAATTAAAAAATCAGAAAAATTACACCGTATGAGCATTTGATCCTAGAAGAGTGTGTTTAAGCAGACAGTATGGTACCTTAAGGGGGGTCCTTTGTAAAGATTTGTTTAAAAAAAATAAAACAATGAAAAAATATTTCTTCTTCAAGTAAAAAATTGTAGCTAATCGAATAATAAACATAAATGTTTACTATAAATTAGGGATAGTTTGAGGAAGGACCCTTTTTGAGATGAAAATATCATTGTCAGTGCCTTTTCTTGCATTTATTTAATATTCGAATGTTGTTTCATTATTCGATCGTCGGTTCATTCGACTGACAGTCGAATAGTCGACTAGCTATTCGTTGACATCCCTACTATAAATAGCCAAGCCATTAAGTAAACTCCTCACCATAATTTCAATGATGTTTCACAAAATATGGGCAGCTGGGTGGACTGGGTATGGACACCAAGGAACTGGAAGACTAGCAGGCGATATAATAATAAATTGCTGCATATTATTTTTTTATCAAAACACGGCAAAGATATTCTTTCATTTCCGTATTTAGATTATCACAATCTAATTAAAACTAGTGCTAATTGTAACGGGAACCGTTACAGATGTTCCCCAAACGCTCCCCAACTCCCTTTCAGTGCCATGTTCCCTGTAAGCTTCATTAAATAAGACAAACTCTGTGCATTTTTGACTTTTACCAGGGGATGACAAATCCCATTGCCCGACGCCCGGGGCTAGTGAAATTTAGGGATGGGCAAGTGGAATTTTATCAACCACTTGCCCCCGGGCAAGTGACTTATCAAAAATAGAATTTACTTGTAGGCCATGAATTTAAAGCTGGGCATAGGGGCTTGTATGATATACTCAGCATTTGTCCTCCTCTTTTTTGAAATATCTATAAATACAGAATTAGTTTATGGTAGGGCAAGCAAAAATTCAGGTAGGGCAAGTCAATGTTGACCATTTACTTGCCCTTGGACTAGTGCCTTAAAAATCTATTTGTCAGCCCCTGCTTTTACAACGTTTTCCCAGAAGGATACCAATTATATTCAAATTTTAGCATTAGCAAGCGCATGTGAATGCATGTGCGTTATGACCATATCATCTTGTCTACACTATTTATATATTTTAATATACTATATATTAAAGCATTCAGTCCAAAAGTAATAAAAATCACTCATTCAAGAGTATTTTTGAATATACTCATTTCAAATGCACGCACGTGCGTGCACGTGCATGATGATCATACCTTCTTGTAGGAGTCCTTTACATCTATCTATGTTCTAAATCCCATCCTGTTTGGTTGAAAAACAAGGGAGTTATAGCAATTTAAAGTTTCAGCCAATCAGATTGCAGCACACGTGCATGCGCGTGATTTCATGACTTTTTTCCTACATCATTTTGCAGGATATCTTAATGCAAGACTATATTTTAAATTTCAAAGCATTTCGTCAAAAAACAAAGGAGAAATAGCCATTTAAAGTTTCAGCCAATCAGATTACAGCGCACGTGCATGCACGTGATTTCATGATTTTTTTTCTATATCATTTCGTAGGATATCCTAATGCATGACTATATTTTAAATTTCAAAGAATTTCGTCAAAAAACAAAGGAGAAATAGCCATTTAAAGTTTCAGCCAATCAGATTGCAGCACACGTGCATGCGCGTGATTTCATGATTTTTTTTCTATATCATTTCGTAGGATATCCTAATGCATGACTATATTTTAAATTTCAAAGAATTTCGTCAAAAAACAAAGGAGATATTGCCATTTAAAGTTTCAGCCAATCAGCTTGCAGCACGCGCACATGCGCATGCTTTCATGAAAATTCTTATATATCGTACGGTAGATCTTCATAATGTAGGACTATGTTCAAAATTTCAAAGGATTATGACAAGAAACAAGAAAGTTATTGAGACTTTAGTTTCAGCCAATCAGAGCGAAGCGCACGTGCATGCGCGTGAGATCTTGCTATTTTGACCACGCTATCTTGTTTATACTACTAATGTATCCTTACATTATGAGTTTCAAAAAATTTCATCAAAAAATAGAAAAGTTATGGCAATATCCATTATATTGGTAATTTCACCTATTGCACGTGCGCGCTCTTGCAAGCACGTGCGCGCAAAATGACCTTTGTTTGGCAACTCTACATTCCATGCCTACTAACCCTAAAAAGGTTTCACCTAAGTCGGATGTGTAGTTTTCAAGATCACTCGTGGACAAAATTTTCCCAGGAAGAAGAAAAATAATAATAATAATAATAATAATAATAATAATAAGAAACAGAGTAAAAACAATATGTTCCCCAACTTCGTTTGGGGAACATAATTAGATCTTTGATCCGCTCCAGTTTGATCGCTACACAAAGATCTAACGAAACCCCATTTGTAGGTCAAATCCAGTGACCTTCTTGTCATGCATAATCATTGTTCAGATTAGCCAATCAGAGAGCTTTTTTCAAACGCTTTTCGTTGTGAAAAAGTTCGGGAAAATTTCGATAATGGCGGCCGACCTAGAGAATGCTATTGAGAAAGTATTGCAAGATTTCAAGATTCAAACGTTAAAGGAGGAGCAGAAGGATATTTTATTGACAGCTCTGAATAATAAAGACTGCATGGCAATTTTACCAACCGGATATGGGAAGTCGTTGCCATATCAGATGTTGATACCTGTCCGAAAACAGTTGCAGATTCAGAGATCCCCAGACTTAGACTCTTACAACGTCGGAAAGATTATCGTTTGTTCGCCTTTAATTGCGTTAATGCAAGATCAAGTGGACAGATTGAACTCTATTCCAAATGTTAAAGCAGTTTACAAAGGTAGGTTTTTGTTTTTGTTTTTTTTTTTTTTAAATATAATTACATTGGGGGGAAGAATGCGGATCTTCGACTGTTAGAGTCGAGGTAAATCAAACAGTCACCCCATCATTTCCGCGCTCTAAAATGTTATGACTATTTAGGGCCTGGTACAATCGGATAATACGAGTATGCTACCAAGATTATAGCCATTTTTTTTTTACAGGCGAGAGTAAAGACAGTGACCAAATTATTGCGGAGGGCAAGTTTGATTATCTTATTGCATCGCCAGAGGTATTGGTTGGCAACAGTGGCTTCCGGCAAATACTTCAGGAATTTAAAGTTGATACAATTGTAGTAGATGAATGCCACACTATGTGCACATGGTAAGAGACATGCATTTTTTAACTGAAGTCTTTCATTCACTCCAATCGATGGCAACCTTATTTTCATTTAATAATTAAATCATTTTTAACCACACATTTGAGTAAATAGTTCTTTTTAATTTATTTTATTCTCATATGTATTATCATACAATTTTACTTGCAGGGGAGGATTAGGGGATGAGGAGCAGCTGGCCTTTAGGAAATGGTTCCGGCACCTAGGAGAGCTTAGGTCCATGTTTCCGTCTGCAAATTTACTGGCTGTCAGTGCAACATGTAACAAGACAATTCGTAGAACAGTTATGAAGGAACTTGGTTTACAAAAAGAATGTACAACATTAATTATAAGATCACCAGATAAATCAAATATTAAATACTATGTTAAAAAAATTGACAGCTCCATAGAAATGTCCATGCAGTTTTTACTTGATTCTTTGGAATTGGAGGCATTTCCACGCACAATTATTTATGCTACCAGTGTTAAGGAGGTGTCTGAGTTGTACAATTATTTATGTAATGAAAACCCAACATTAATCGATAAAGTAGATATGTTCCATTCGGAGACATCAGATGAAAAGAAAAGTGACATTATTAAAAATCTTCAGGATGGTGGCAGTCAAATAAAACTTGTGATAGCAACTTCTGCCCTTGGAATGGGCATAGATATTGTGAACTGTCATTCAGTAATTTTATATGGTATACTGTCTACAACCACAGACTTGATACAGGAAGTGGGAAGAATTGGCCGAGATGGCAAGGAGTCTATTGCATTGTTGTTGTACAATAAACATCACCTGCAACATGCAGATATCAGTGTAAAGCATATATACAAAACACAGACATGTCGACGAATTTCTATCATGAAAGATTTCCTTTCAACATCCCAATTAGATTCTTTAAAAACAGGGATTCACAGTTGTTGTGATATTTGTGAACTGGAGTGTTCTTGTCAAAACTGTAAACAGCTGCCACTTCAGCAGTATTTTCTTGGACTTTGTGTCATGGAAGACTCAGATAGTGTTAGTAGTGATGCAACTGATGTTGAGTAATGGAAATTCAAATCAAAATTGAAACATTAAAAAATGTAAAAATCAAATTTGGTGTTTTACTTTTTCTAACAGGGTATTTTAAAACTTCTTAGCATCTATCATATTCCTATTGAAAATGAGCATGGGAGTTATGGAAGAAGCTTGGTTGTTTCATGGTTGTTTGTCCTGTCATGACTGGGGATAAAAAAAAATGGGTCAGTGCAAGTACCCTGGTAGGTATGTGGACAATCCCCTCCCCCTTAAATTGTTACATCAAAGCTAAATTTTCATTATCTTTTTTCCATAATGCATTAAAAATGTTTCCTGGAGGCTAAACAATGTTTTGAGCAATTCAATTGGGAAAAGGCAACCAAACTTTAAATTCTTTAAAGCTGGCCTAAGCAATTTCATCTTAAAATTTATTACCCAAATCCACCACATATTGATCAAAGTTTGTGGCACTTTACTTTTGGATTTGATTCTTCACAGATTAGATAATAAAGAATTAACATTTTATTTACAAAATGTTGCAGTAATTGAGCAGTACATAAACAATGAGATATGATATATACAAGTATTTGATAGCAATATGTGACAAGGATAAACATATTGAAAAATGTTTTATTTAGCTTTGAGAGAATATAAAAAATTCTGAAGGGTTTTTAAACCTAAATATTTTACCTTGTGAATTTTTAACATGAGCAAAAATCAGTGTTGGAAATTGAATGGACAAGATATATGCGAAAAACAATCACTATTTATAGTCATTTTGTATCTATTAAATTATGTCCAATACAATTACATAAAGGTTCTTTACTCTGACAAGGAAAAACACCTAAATTTAACATTTGATTCTCATTTGATACTACTTGCACATTGTTTCATACAATGTTCATAAAAATTCATGCAAACTCGTGTATTAGGAATATAAGTTAAATAAGTTTAAATGTGGGGATCACGCAGACGGCGAAAGGGAAATGATGGTCGATGGCGATGAATCATGGTGGACAACCCTTGATAGGCATTGTTGAATGGATTTCTCTCAGTGGTCAGGCCTTTACACTTCAAGATGCGCTTAGGGGTATGTTCTAAAATGTTTAGCTCCTGGAGATCCTGAAGAATTTTTCTGACGTCCTGTTTGTAGGAAGGAAGATGATGGAATCCCTTCTTACCCTTAATGCTACTAACAATGTCATAGTGTTTTGCAATGTTAATAAGAAGTGGATACTCTTTCGAATGCTGGACAATACTGTCCTCTGTTTGGTGCCCTGAGCAAATTACTTTGCTGTCTCTATTTTGCATCTCGACAAATTCATCCAGAGCTATGTTGTTATTTGGACCACCTTGTAGATTGATGAATCTGTTTGCTTTCAATCTTTCTTCTTGGCTTGCAGGAAGTAAGCCAGATGTCAGCGCTGTCAGATGAATCGATCCAATGCTGTATTTTGTCTTATTGGTCTTGTTGTATATTGGCAGTTCATACTTAGTTGATCTTACAGATCTTTCACCATCTCCCATGTCCACAGCACTGTCAAGGTTCTTATGCAGCATCACAAGCTTGAAGAGCATAACAACATAGTCCTGAAGCTGATCTGCTTTGGTATCTTTCTTTCTGGACACTTTGGACTGTTTTGCTAGGGTGACATTGTGCACTTTACTCTCGTGAGCTTTTAACGAGCCTACATAAGCATATGTTTTTGGACAAAAGTGACATCGGATTCGACCATCTTCAAAATTTTGTACCCAGTAGTTCTCGGGATGATCTGGATTTCCTGTAATTTCACGCAACTGTTCACAAACATCTGATGAGCCATCAAAGAAATATTTCTTCAGTATTTTACTGCAAATTTCATTCAACCACTGTATTTTTTCATCATTTGTCAAGTTGTTGAAGTGGCTAGGCAAGGGTGCATCTGAATTCACATCAATATTCAATTCTTCAAGAAACATTAGAAGACAAATTGCATCCAGAATGGTGTAGTACAACATCTTGTGCGGACGATATGCATTCTTTACTTTCCCTTTCACGTCTCTTGCATTAAGTAAATTGCGGTAGTAGTAAACCGTCCCTCTGTCTTGTGCACTTTCAGTTGAGAATGTCAATTTGTATATTGCCTGAAAAATATTCACAAATTTGTTTACTAGAGATGCAACAAAGTCATATGAGAAAGTGATAAATTATTACTTGACCTCTTATAAACATATATTAAAATTATTTTTCATTTGTTTCTAAAACTATCCTTAGATAAACAAATATTATATTAGTATAAAAAAACATTATCAAGAAAAATGTGAAAACGTACTTCCAAGAAGTTCATTAATCGATGGAAATCTTCCGTTTTTGATATGAATCCCTCGAGCCTTTTCTTAGGTGTTTCTGCATTGCTCATTGCTGCTTGGGCACACTGAACACGCTCATCTGTCAATCTATCTCCTAAATTAAAATACTTTGATGAATGTTTTTCCAGTGCTTAAAAAGACGTGAAGAAAGCTACTACTCTTAATTTAAATTCTTTTATTCTTGCCATAGCCAAAACTTTTCCAAGATACTATGCAGTAAAATGATTCTATTTCAGCTTACAATTTCCTTGCATTATATACACAAATCTAAATAAACATACCTCCAAAAAAAACCTCCTCCACTATTTCTCCATCACGCTGAGGCACATATTTCTCTGATAGATCTTTTAGCAGCTGTATCAGCTCTGCTGTTTTGTTTTCATTGCATTTATACAGTCCAAGAGGAAACTAAATAAAAAGGTAGGATGGACAGATCTCATAACAATCAACTGTAAGCCTGATATGCTTTCTTTCATATTTTATTTTATGTATGTTAATTGTTGCATTCATGACTATATGCCAATGTATGATGGTGTTGTCAATAAAATGAAAGAAATCCTCTATAATTTCTTATGTCTTAGATGTAATTGTTCATTTTAGTTATCTTAAAAGACATGATTAAATGATATACCTGGGTAGTTTTCATTCCACAGTAAGAGCTGTATTTATGCTCAAGATGCACTGGATAAACATGCCGGAAATGCTCTTCCAGTTGAGGCATATTTGACAACACAGAGGTTGCAAATATAAAGGTCAATTCTTGAAGAAGTTTGTCCTGTTCTTCGACTGAAGGAATATACATCGAGTAATCTAGTTCTTCAGTTAATGGAACTGGTGTGCTCTGCAAGTGATGAGTTGGTACTCGGTCTACAACCGCGATAACATTGAAGAGGTGAAGGGAAAGAGTTTTCTGTTGGGACGTTCGAAAAGATGGGAGAATGTTCTTGTCCCAGTTATCACCAATAAGCTGAAATCTTTGATGTCCTCCATTTGCCCAAGAATCACGTATACTCAGAATGTCTTTATCCAGACTGTCATGCCAGGTTGTCAATCGATTATGCACAGTTCTTGGATGGACTGATAAGCCTATGTTTGAAAGTCTTTCTATGTCCTGTGAATTATAAGAAACCATTAAAACAAGAAACATGCATCAACTGCTCTACTGACTTATCATGTTTACCCGTACTTCCTCATTATTGTAACTTTTAACCTACTTTGGGCTAAATAGATTGTAAAGAAAATATTTAAAATTTACATTTGAGTAGCCCTGAAGATATCAATTTTAACAATATGTTTTAAAAATATGAGCAATTAAAGTTTTTTCCATTAATAACTTAAGGTTATAATTATAAAAAAGACAAGGATTTTTCGTATTCTGGTCAAATTATTCATACTCAGTATTTTAACAGATAGATACAAGAACAGTATATGCAACCACAATCTCATGTAGTGATGTACCCCCCCCCCCTTTTTAATTCAACAAAAAATTTCTTAACCAATGGTTTAAGCTATTCTGAAATTTAAAATAATACCGTTAGTGTGCAGCCTCCATGTGTAAGTATAAAGCCAATGATGTACTGAATGACTGACATCTCTTGGTTTCGAGCATGAAGCCCTACAGCAACTGACACAAGCATGTGCTGGAATGGTTTGCTGTCTATTTGTAATGGCACATCAGACACAACTGAAGACATTAAGGTCATCAAATTTGGGCAACTAACACTCAGTTCTTTGCTCAGAGATTCCCAGCTAAAGGAAAGAAAGTCATCAAGATTTTTCTTTCTCAATAAAGTTCCTGAACCTTGTTTACAAATACTCTGACTTTCTTGCTTTAGGATATCTGCAACAGCCTCAATGACTGGTGAGGGGTTTTCAGCAACCAATTCATCAACAATGACTTTGTCCACATTAACTCCTTGTAGAATTGCCTTACATATTCTTTTATGGTGTTCTTGTAGGACATAGGTATTCTTTGTCTGGCTTGGATAGTACACTGTCAACTGAAAGAAAGAAGCACATTTCATAATTTGATCAAACCTTTCCCTTAGTTCTGGTTATTTTGAATGACAACAATAAAAAACAAGAGGCCTAGGGGCCACAGCCCTCACCTGAGCACATTGGCTAGGAAAAAGCACATATCAGATCAGAACTGAAAGTTTACCAAGGTTTGAATTTTAACCCCCCAGGGGGTCATGATTTGAACAAACATACCTGAGGATGATTCCATATAAATATCACTAATGATGTCTTTGAAGTACTTGAAAAGAAGATTTTAAAAGGTTTCCCTATATATTCCTATGTAAAACTTTGGTTGGCCATTTTGGCCCCACTCTAGCCTTGGGGGTCATGATTTGAACAGACTTGAATCTACACCAGCTGAGGATGATTCAACATGATTTTCATCTTTCCTGGCACAGTGGTTCTTGAGAAGAAGATGAAAATGTGGAAAGTTTACAACGACGACGATGATGACAATGACAACGACAGACAATGGACAAATTTTGATCAGAAAAGCTCACTTGAGCCTTCGGCCTCTGGCCTTATACCAGATTTAGTCCCCTTTTTGTAAAAGGTCTAGGTCAAGCTTAACTTATTTAAACTTTGTTCTTATGTATTCAATTTGATATAAAAACTGACAGTAATAGTATTTTATTTACCGAGTTTCAAGTGAATTTATATTT